TAATCTAAATGCCTGTGATTCGAATAAAGGAATACATACAGTGACCGAAATAGAAATTAGGACTCGACATTTTAGTAAGTTTTGGCTATTTTTCCTTAGTTTATTTAATGTTTATTATTTATTTTATGAACGTAAAGCCCCTTTCCTAACAAAAACCATATAATACCAAATTTCCAACTTTTGTGCAAAAAACTATAAAAATTAATTCTGCAATGTCATTAAAATTTCAAACCTTTTAATTAGAATCTTTAGAAAAATATTTGGTTTGCAGTTTTGTAACTCACTAAAATTGAGTATAATAAAGGGCGAGTGGCAGGTGCTGCTCATTTGCTTCTCTTTCAAAAAAATGGTCGCACATATTTACATTTTATAAAAAAATTGCGTAACACCGTAAACAAAAAAATGCCAAAAATTAATGGTAAGTCTTAGCGACTTACAATTGCGCGTTAATATACTAGATTTAACGATTTGTTTAACAAATTTTACGGGGTAAAAATGTGTCTAAGGAATCCTTCATAAAAGCGATTTACTGTAGCAATTTAGTTAATTAATAATTATTACATTACTTCACTGTATTTTAAATATATTTCTAAAATATATTCTTCTTAAAACGCTTTAAAAGAAATTTAATTTTGTGGCACTTTCATTTCGGCACTATTTTTTAAGATCATTGGGTACATTTTGAAATTTTTAAATTCCATCGCTGGACCGTATACCCAAAAAAAAAACAGCAGGGTTTAAGCTGAATTTGTGTATGATTCTACAGGAGCTCGCTTTGATTTAATACAAAGCCCTGTTAACATAAGTATTGTTTGCATATCAAAGCTTCATAGAATTTTGATATCTACTAATGAGCAACGATTATTTTGAAAAGATATTTACTATAATGTCAACGAAAATGGATCGATCCGAGACACAGAACGATGATAAAACTGGTAGGGCAAAGTTATTTATGAATTTAAATTTTAAATCGGCAATTTTTTACGTGGATCGTAACAAAGCAACTTGTTTCTGAAAGTATTTTTTGAAGAAAAGTACTCGTTAAACAAAAAAAATAAGTAAATTTTTTGTTTTAAACAAGACTGAAGGATAACAGTAGATGACTCTCCCCAACCGAAAAAACTCTGGGTTTGATATCGTCCCAATTTGGCAAGGCTACTTGTGCCCCTGAAAGGGATCTTGAGGGTCAAATGCTAATTTGACTGAACTGATGATTGTACAATATTTCACTTGTATTTATTGCATTATTAAATTATACACACCATAGTTATTTTTGTCGCCCGCGTCGCTGACAAATCGCTCTGATTGGTCGCTGCCGCCACTGCCACTAAACACTGGCTCGAAAGTGCAATGCGCCAGCACAGCGAATGTGGTCAAGAAGATGATACCCTTGTAACAGGTTGCTGCCTGAGACATTGTTATCGGTGTTGTTTTGCTGTAACGAAAAAATAAAATAAAATAAAAAATGAGCTCAAGCCAAGCAGTTGGCTTTTTGTGTAAGTTACATTTTGCCTCTGTTTCTATCGATCTCTGTAATTGATGCGGACGGCGCAAATTTTAGGATTTATGAATGAATTGTAAACAAATATGTTGTGACAACGTTATGATGCGAATGAGTGTTATGGAATAATAACAATATACGAGATTAAATAAAAATAAAGGTGAGCGTATTTGGAAATACAGATTGTATGTAGCCAACAGCAATTGAGCAACACGCGAAGACACTTCATATCCGCAGGTAGTTTTCATTTCAGTTCCCTGTTTTAAGTGAAATACGAGACCGCCGCTTTTAACACTTTCCAGTGGGCGAAGAACGTGCATACGCTATCGTTGGTTGGTTTATGTGTGTAGTTGTGATTTTCTGACAAATACAAACATGCAAAGTGTTAAGCTGGGATCACACGATTTGTGCATTTGTACAGATTTGTACATTCTCACAGTTAGAGAGTGGTGGTGTTTGGAAAGTTGTTATTGAGCTGAATTCATTATTTCTAGACGTTCGCCACTCTGTAACTGCCAAAATGTACAAATCTGTACAAATGTACAAATCGTATTATCTCTGCTTTATATTTACATAAATAATGTATCGCTACTCTATACATACATACATATGTACTAGTATACGTATGTAAATATATAAATTCTGGTCACACACAGAGTACGCAAAATGTGTCATATATGTAGTTTGACTTGCCATAAAAGCTGAATCTTGTTTAGCCGTCTAAGCACCTAAGCGATTTTGGCAAGTAGTTGCTCTACTCTATGCTATCTGGACTGCCAAGTGGGACCAAGAAAAATATTTCCACCAGGTTTTTCTATCGCAAAGGGCATCTTCACCCTCTCACGTTGCGCTTAAATATGGTTTAACCCAAAAGTCCTTGCCCATTCAGTTTTTCCTGGAACTCATATTCTGTCATCATAACCAAGTGATTCTAGAGAAGGAGTCAAAATATATCTCGATTTACCTTAATGCACTGTAACACATTTGGTGGGCATTCCCGTGAACTATATTCATTTCGTTTTATTGAAAAAAATTGTTATTTTAACTTTAAATTTGCAAAAACCGCGAATAGCCATGTTTTTTGATAGTTACTGCGATGAGTCCCCATACTTTTGATTCTGACTGTATTGGTTAGGGCATTCGTTTCAAAGCCTACACATCTCCATAAACTTTTGTTCAAATCCTTTTTATATCTCTTGTATGGTAGACGATATGGCAATCATAACTGTAAGAAATTAGTTTAAAAAATGTTTTCAAAGGCACATTTGCTCGGTAACTTTAAGCCATGCAAAAAATATCAAAATGCAAATTGGTGAGGAAGACTTAATTTCCAACGGAAAGGAGCTAGTTTCATCTCAATATAATATTAAGCCGGAGATATAACGAATCAAACTTGGATGTGTGAAGTGATAGTCGCAGTTATAAAGTGTGTAATGATTAGATTTTATGCGACATGCGACTATTACTCCTGCGCTTACCGAGCTGTCAGCAGACAGTGCAATTTAACCAAACTTGCGCCGACTTTTTGGAAATTAACAGCCGCACTCAGAGTCGCTTTATGATTACTTAAGGTGTTCCTTAGTAACGATTTGAAAAAATTCCCTCTCAGAGTCAGTTAGGTTAGGTTAGGTTAGGTTAAAGTGGCTGCCAGTGACCCCACTA